TGCCGAAGTGTGCAAACAGGATCCTGAAAGAGGTTCACAGCCCGTTTTTTCCATTTCTCCAAACTCAATAGCAGAAATAGTTTGAGCGGTCAGCAGAGCGTCTACGCCACAGCGGGGATAAAATACTGCAGAGACACGTCTTCATGCAGCAGAATCAGGTGGAGCACCCTCTCATGAACGATGTCTGAGGGGACAAGAGGACAACGTCAGGGGAAAGTAACAGAACCACCGCTGATATGGTCAAAACATGACTTTATATTTCATATTAAAAACGTAACATATTCACACATCGAGTGCACAGAAATGGAAAATGAAATTTCAATGTGATTAAATTACTTGAACATCCATAAGACAGAAGGAATGAATGGAAGGGAAAGTAAGAAGGTAAATTGAAAGGACAAGAGAGAGAAAATCTTATTTTTATATCTGTAACTTTAATGTAACAGATAATTAACTTACTACTCATGTAAAGACTTTTGTCGGATTCATCAACGTTTTCCTCTTTCCAAAATGTTCTGAGGTTTGAAATGGTGGTCCAAACATTTCACATCATCATCACATTCATCACATTTCCTAAATTGTAGTCCAAGTTGTTGTTGTGTTTTGAATAGTTTTGTTTGTTCTGATATTTACTATCCACAGGAAGCTGACGCAAAGGATTGCCTTCCTCATACTGGATTATATTGGCGTTTCATTCTGCTAATGCCCGTCAGGTACAAACATCCAATTTATGAACGAATCAGGTTTGCACCTGGGTAACAACAAATCAGCTGGCTGCCACATTTGTCATGAATCTGAATTTTCTTATTTTTGTGAACAAAACAAAGAAAATGAGACCAAATGTCTCATCGAGCTGAATCTGGGTTGTTTTTCCATTTTGGAGCTGTGGATTTTTACTTGATAACGGCCATTTTATCTCACGCTGAGTGCAAAATTTTAATTTTCAAGTGACGAGTAGCTGCAGCAAGCAGGTAACAGTAGGAGAGGAAAAGCAAAAGGAGACATTTTACGGTCCAGATGGGTTTCCTATTTAAATGCTGAAATCATGATATATGAATATTCGCTGGGCAACATGACAAGCTAAAGATGTTTCATTGCATTTGACTTGTTGGTGGAGCGGCGGGTCGACTTACTGCACATGGCCTTGCTGGGGTTGACCTGCTGTCCCATGAGGAACTGCTGCAGCTTCCTGATGTCCACTCTGGCCTGAGCCATGGCCTCTGGGTCCCGGCTCTGAGACGGACCACCGTCCTGTGAGGCGTCATCACCTGGAGGGACAGGACGCAGAGAGTGAAGGACAGGTCTGGAGCTGGGGCCGGGACCTGGACTTAAACCTGAACATCGTGAGCTCCGAGGACGAGAAAGGCCTTCATCAAATAAGGCCGTGTTCAAATGAAAAAAAAACATCCTCGTTCATTTCAATAAACCTCTGCATCGGCACAGCGTGGGTCCTGACACACCTGACCTCACGTTTATTTACGGCCCATTCAAGCATTTTGCCGAGAAACACAGAGATGTTATCTATTACGTTACAAGCCGGGGATATTTTACAAGCAAAGAGCAGGTAAAATGACTGAACACACCAGCGCAGATGTCATTCGTTAGCTACCATGTGGGTTTCGTTTTGTTTGGCCACGTCATTAACAAGCCTCGTCCACACCCGCCGCACCTGCTGCTGTAAACACGATCGCGGCTGCTGCCGTCGTCGTCCTGCCTTAAAACAAGGGCCAGAACGATAAATCTGCGTGCCGATATTATCTGCTGAAATGAGCTGTTTGCAGATAAATTAGTATCTGTGTTTAGAACAGCCGATAAATAAAAAAAAAAAGAAAAGGAGAGACAGAAGGTCGATCCTTTAATCGTGTTATGAGTGTTGTCGCAAAAAAAATATTTAAAACAATAAAAAAAAGGTTATTTTTAAACTGCATTATCATCATTGTCACGGTATCCTGGCGAGGTCTTAAAACTAAACATAACACACGTTATGGGATATCAAATGGGTATCTGTCTTAACAAACTAAAAGCAGTGATAGTTTTTACCCCACGGAGGGTTTCCCAGGTCTTTGAAGTGAGTGGTGACAGAAACCAGATCTGTCTCGATCTTCAGGTTCATCTCTCCGTTCAGGTTGGCCTCCATTACCTGATGCAAACACACACTTTAATACACATCTAATTAACTTCGCTTACACTCTATTAAACAAAGTTTCTGCAGTTTTCAGGAAGCCAAACTTGAGAACTTAAAAGTACAAGAGGCCCAGCGAGATAATGGTTTAATCATTACTGAGGCTGGGGTGAATAAAAAGACCTACATACACTCTAGACAGATGGGATTAAAATCACTGAGCAGCAAGGAATATTAAAATCACCCCATCTCCAGCAGAGAAAGAAACGCACTCTGAACGGGGCTTTAGATAAAAAGCTGTTGTTGTTTGCTGTACTGTGTGATTTTAGATTTAATTCAGGCCTCGCAGCTCTGTATGTAAGACGTGAGTGACGTTTGGAGGACTGTGATCCTACCAGGAAGTTGGAGAGGTTCTTCATTCTGTCCACGACGTTCTTCATTGTCTTCAGAGGAGGCAGGTAGATACTGACCTGCGAGGACAGACGTGTGAAATCTTTTGCGCTTCACTTGTAAGGAGGACACATTAAGAGGAACGCTGTCCTTCTCAACAACTTCACTGTTTGGTGAAGTGCAGCGATGTCACTTACATCGAAGTCCGGCATGCTCGGTTCTTTGAATTCGTGCCAGAGTCTCCGGGGGATGACGTCAACCGGGACGTCGTGAGTGACGACTCGACTGACGCTGGACAGGGTGGGCTGGACAGGACGGACAGAGACAATAAACACAATAGTGAGACTATTAATAGTAATGTGGAAATTTAAATATCAAAAAGAGAAATAACTCTGGGGCCTGGCGTGGACGTAGCAGGTCAGTATGCAGAGACAACCGTCCTGAAGATCACAATAAAAGCTGAAGTCTCACCAGCTCGGCTGCGATGGTCAGGCAGGGGCAGTGCTTCTTGGTCAGTTTCACTTTGACGGCCTTGGCGTTCTGGACCGTCTTCAGGGCTCTGGACAGGTTCTCCGGAGTCACCTCCAGACAAATCTCGTTGTCCTCAGAGGACACGCCCTCCATCTGGTACTCATCGAAGAAGTTGGCCTGCAGGGAGGAAGAATAAAGGGTCACTTTACCTGAACCACAAAAAAAAAAAAAAACACTGAGAGACTGAGTAGACGACAGGTTTTGACAGGCCTCTCTTTGGTGGAGCCAAAATCATCGCCACGACCTGAACAAGAAGCCAACAAGCTCACAGGTGTAGGGCTGCACAACATATCGTTTCTGCATCGTCATCGCAGTGTGCCCACGCCAACAGCACTGCAAACAGTCACTCGATTAGTCATTTTCCATGACTAATCTACAAAGAAGACCAGCTGATGGAACATAATTTCCTCGGATTAAAAGGGAAACCCAGAGTTTGTTGCTGGTGAGTGACAAGCAGACTCTGCATGCACAGCGAAACCACCAATCACAATATTGTTCCTGATGAGTTTATCAACCTCAAAGCAGGCCCGCCCCCGTTAGTTAAACATAACTGAGGAACAGGAGAAAACCACCAAAACAGTTAATTTGGTTGCAAGAAGAAAAGCATTTTTGTAAACCACTCAGGGGCCTGGTGCATATCATTTTCTATAAAATATGTTTACTGCATTAAAACTCAAGAAAGGAGAGTTTTCACTCTTGTATTCAGACTAAAAGGAAAATTTTCAGCTTTTTAAATTTCTATGCATTTTCCCCACAAAATCACCCCAATAATTCTAGGATACTTAATTCTTTTCAAATCGAGCAATTAAAGTCGTCCAGTGAAACTTCCTGTATTTTTTCAAATCGCAATATATAAAGAAAAATATTGCAATGTCAGTTTTTTCCAATATCGTGCAGCCCTACGCACAAAGTGTGACCACAAGATGACTCAAACAAGGAAGAAGAAGCTACTAAGAGACCAAATAAGAAATCAAGAAGACAGAATAAATATAATAATGATATATAACAACGTACAGCAGCAGCACCAGATCACTAACATGCTCTGCTTTCAGCTCCTCACATGTGAGGAGTAGCTGTTTGCCATAAATGACCTAAATGTCTGTATGTTTTGGACTAGGCTGAAGGTCCATCCACTGATGGAGATGTATAACAAATACTTTTCCTCCGTTCTGACGAACACGTGAATTATTTCTGCTACTCTCCTGTTAAGCCAATAAAAAACACTTGAAGAAAGCAAAAACTCCATGTTGCTGCTTCCCTGTCAGTTCGCCTCTCTCCTCTTTCCCACCTGTTCTGACTCCCCTACAGGTGAAACACGCAGCGGCTCTTACCTGTGACAGCTCACACCACATGCTGACCCCTCCGTTGGCCACTTTACCCGACAGGACGAAGAACAGGTTGTCTGGAGTCAGTCGCAGGACGCACATCTTCGTCAGCTTCGAGATGGTGGTGATGACTCCTGGAGAGGACGAGCGGAGTCATTAACATATCTAACCTCAGTTTGTTATAATCCAGCCACAGACTGCGTCAGATTAACCAGATGATCAATCAAACATTAATCTGATTCTCACTCTTCAAACAGGAGACATGAGAACTGTAAGGCTGCAACTACTGATTATTTTGTATGATAAACGTTTTCAAACGACCTTTAACAAAGAATAATTAGAGCTTTTTTTTAAGGGCTGCACGATTAATCTAATCGCGATGTGGTCATGTGTGATTACATAACCGCAAAAAGTGTGAGATTTAATAAACAGAAAAGGCGTGTGTGACACACCGGTGTTATGCCGAGTTTTGCATGCCTGCGTAGAATTGCGTGCACTTCCAAAAACTGCCTTTAAACGCTGAAATATCCTTTGTGGGGTTCATCAATGGTGATAAATGATTTAAAGTGTATCTTTTATGAACGTTTAGAGTCGTTAATTATTTATTACACTTACAGGTGAAAAATTAATATAAAGATGAAACTAATATATTATATAGACTCTTTACATGCAAAGTGAGATATTTCAAGCCTTTATTTGATATAATTTCGATGATTATTGTGTACAGAGCAAAGGGTAAATGGAAAGGACCTTTAAGAGGTGGATGCATAATTCGGCAGAACAGATGTTGGAGGCTTCCTGCCCAGATCTGCATCCACCTCTTTTCTCAGCATGAATCAGCGTTACCAGCCGCGAGGTGCAGGAAAGTCTCGGCAGGCGTGCAGAATTTGTCACAACACCTGTTGCTCTCTGACAGAGACGGAGAGACGACGGCAGCAGCAGGTGAAGCAGTAAGACAGAAGAAAACTGGGAGAACATAAGGAAGGTTTGAGTTTGGCTCGCTGGCCATTTAACGTTTTAACGCTGTATCGGTGCCTTTTGTTGTTCAACTTTTCATAAAGCCTGTAAGTTTCACCTTTTGTCAACCAACCAATCACAGCCTGGATGTGGCGGGACATTAAAAAAGGTTTTACATGCTACATCAAATCATTAAATGTTGAGAAAAGGATTAAATAAATAAATAACCCACAGAAATGAAACAGCTGTAACAGGATTTAATATTCAACTAGTGGTAAAATAATAGGCTCTACTATTGTATGAAATTATAACGAATATAATAATTAACATAGGCCATTATTGTTATACTAACAGTACACTATTACATGAACATTATACTCTTTATTTAATGTTATAATATTACACTAATAGACTCATGTATGTTAGTGGACTGATGCAGATTTGGATCCAGGATGCCAGTGGGCCAGTATTTGCTCCTTTACTTCTGTTTTACTAGTTATTGTTATAAATACTGTTTATCGCTTAACTTTGTTCAAAAACACGTTTCAAAATGTCAGTATTTTGTTCATTTGATAATCAAGCACTCACAGACTTTTTCTCCAAATCTCGCAGCCCTACTTTATTTGTACAGCAGGTGTCGATACAGATAAGAAAGTGCTGAAGAGGTTTGATAAATGTCAACTGATTAACGTTAATTAAACCCTCATAAACACCTCCCAACAACATTTGTCTTCTCTGGGATCAGATAACGTCGACGTGGATCAAAACAGAAATGAGATAGTTTGTAAATTAACCGGTAAGTCTGTATATAGTGATAATTAATCATCAGACCTGGTGTGAATTCACCACGCTGAGAAACAAGTCTGACGTTAGTCTAGTTTTGTTTATGTTGTTAGAACACAACTCGGCCTCATTTTGACTTCATCAAGCTGCAAGTTTATTAAAGTTGGCTAATATTTCAGCGCCGAACTGCCCCTAACAGCTTACAAAACGTACAAACACGATCATCCGCCACATCCAGAATCCAGTCTGGCGTTAAATTGTTTCTCCGCGCAGAAACGCGAGTTTTCGTGCTGAAGTCTGGTGGAAGCTAACAAGCTAACAAGCTAGCAGCAGCGTGTCTGTCGGCTGAACAACTTACGGCTGAAATGGTTCAGACACGCGATGTCTATGATTTTCCCTCGAAACTTCATTCTGACTCGTGACAGTGAATTTAACCCTGCAGTCAGAAGAGAAGCGTGAAGTTTCTCCGGTTCGGCTTCCGGCGGGAGATTTTTTGAAGCCGTGTCCGACGGAAACAGCAGCGGAAGTTCCTCTTTCTTCTTCTCTGGCTTCATTGGCGCATCGCAAACCAACCTTAAAGGTGCACACCGCCGCCTACCGTACCGGAGTGTGGAGATCCATGCTTAATGAAATCAATCAATAAATCAATAACAATAAAGTAAGTTGTTTTTTTTAATCACGCCCCTGTCTGTATAATCCATGTGTTCTCCATCCCTGGCTTGCCTCATGTGTCCCTCTCTAAATGATACGACTACGAGTATTAGGGGCCACATTAAGCGAAAAAACTGAAGTTTGCTTCCTCAGACAGAGACACAAAGAGGAAGACTAGATCATGCCTGCATGTGCACTGACTCAGCTGGTTTTACATGAGAAAAGCTGATCTACGGGAGAAAACCTATTGCATCATACTCTGTTATATTTTTTATTGTGACCTGCCACCTGAATCTTTTGTTTACGTTACATTTACATCACATTTACATTTACATTTACATTTACATTACATTTCATTACATTACATGTACATTTACATTTACTTTACATTTCATTACATTACATTTACATTTACATTACATTTACATTTACTTTACATTTCATTACATTTACATTTACATTTACATTTACTTTACATTTGTTTTACATTTACTTTACATTACATTTACATTTACATTTACATTTACATTTACATTTACATTACATTTCATTTACATTACATTTACATTTACATTACATTTCATTACATTACATTACATTACATTTACATTTACTTTACATTTCATTACATTTACATTTACATTTACATTTACATTTACATTTACATTTACATTACATTTCCTTTACATTTCATTACATTTACATTTACATTTACATTTACATTTACTTTACATTTACATTTACATTTACATTTACATTTACATTTACATTTACATTACATTACATTTCATTTACATTATATTACATTACATTTACATTTACTCATTTGAGGAACAACATACAAGCATCAACAGAGCATCAAATACCGATCTACAACTTACAATAAATACTAGTAAGAGCTCACAGTACATATCACATCAATGGGGCAAATACCTAGGGAAGGAAGTAAGAGTTAACAAAAAGTGCAATCAATACAAAAAGTGCAATCTATACATGATCATTGTAGGGGATAGAAGAAGAAGAGCACAGGAAGTGCATGTTAGAGGTTAGGAGTTAGAGGTGTTATAAGAGGAAGTGTTCTCGAAAGAGATGAGTTTTCAGGAGCTTCTTGAAGTTAGAGACGCCCCTGCTCTGATGGCGTGTGGTAGCTCGTTCCACCATCGTGGTGTCACAGATGAGAATAGCCGGGACTGGGATTGCTTTGTGTGAAGGGATGGTAGAGCCAAGCGGCGTTCGTTACACAAATAAAAACACATCCACCTTTATTTGTTACACAAACATTCACCAAAATAAAGGAAATTAAGCTGATGCTCAAAATTTTCATTAAATTTGGTGTTAAATTCTTGTCTCGTCTCGATCTCGTGAGCAAAGTGTCGCAAAGTGTCATCACACTAACTACAAATTATATTTAGTTTAAATTATAGTTTTCTCTTAAAAATATCTATTTCTTGTTTACTCGTCCAGGCTGGAGTGTGAGGGTCAGTCCATGCAATCTAAGAGGGCCCTTGTGTCATTATGTAGCCTACAGGTTGGGGCCCCTGGTCGCGTTTCACATATTAGCTGTTAGAAACTGATTTTCCCTCCACATGGTTTTATTTAACTGTTCATTCAAGTTGATTTGTGTATCAGAACAGTTGCATCAATATTAACAATCTAATAATCATATTTCAGTCACAAGAGACATTTTACAAGTACTTTTACTTTTGATACTTTACGTACTTGATTACTGTGATTTATTAAAGGAAAGCTTCTACTTGTAATTACATTACTTTTACTTATGTTAATGATTTAAAGTATTTTGCTTTGCTGTGTGTTTCTGTGCACTTATTTCATGCTAGAATACAACATTTACCCATCTATTAATCTCATGTGTACGAAGGCAAAACATTTTTAATCCTGTTGTTTTGTACAGCTCTAGATTAATAAAAATATTTTTAAAATTATAGCAGACATCGCTGTTTCTGAATGTTTCGTTCTTCAAGGATGTGTCACAGTCTTGGTTTTCATAATATTACTGATATTATATATACTATATTAGATATTTTGAGGACTGTGTCTTTGTGTGAATCTAATTTTCTCACATAATTATGTTTTGTAGAATGTAGGATTTTAACTGCTGTAATATTGGTGCCATTTAAATGTTTTTACCTTTACTTTTGTGTGTTGAGACGTTTTTATTTGATTAGTTTCTTGTTTAGTTGGCTATAGGCCTACTTGCTGCTGAAATCATCCTCCTGAATAATTTTGCCGTATTTCGTATCAAGATTTGTTTTGGCAGCTCTCCGTTCTATTGGTTCTCAGCCCTGATCAGTGACCAATCACAGGTGGTCATTGTTAATAAATGGTTGGTCATGAAACAGGTGCAGGTACGGAGGCGTCTCTGCAGTCCAAACCGCGTCTGGCGCGCGGGACCGTTATTTCTCTTTCCTCGAGCTCATTGATTAACGTCACAATGGCGCCGCTGTCCATCCAGTCAGGAGTGAACTACGCCAAAACTCTGCTGCCGGACACTTTAGTGAGGTAGGTGAACAAAACTTCGTCGGCTACCAACTGACTGACATATTTTTAAACAACCTCCCACATTAACTTTTTGTTCCTCTTGTTGAATCTGATGCGACGCATGTGGTGCGTAATTTGGCGCACGCGGCGCACCTGCTGCGCGTCAAGGGTTATTAGTGTGAAGCTGCGGGCCTCCCTGCCAGTAAGTATTAGAGAGAAAGAGTCTCTGCTACAATGTTAGTCTTTTTAATTAAGTAAAATGCTGCATTAAAAAAGCAAAAACATAATTATAATTGGCAAAATGTATTGAAGTACTTAAAGCACCGTATCCACTAAAGTATCAATGCAACAACATCTTATTATTTGGTCAGGAGAAGCCCATTGAGAATGAGTACACATGGTACACTTAAAGAATCAAGCCTTTGGGACCCATCCACACTCTTAAGGACCTCTGCAACCTGAACTCCCCAAGTGGTACCAGCACCTCTGACTGGAGAATCTTTTAGGAAGAGTTCCATGTTGAGGGACTTTTATAAACGGGACACCCTGTTTGGTAACCACTGACCGCAAAGTTAAGGAGGCTACAAAGCTAACTGGATAATTTGTGCAGGATTCTAGATAAAAACGCACCTAGCGGGCTACGTGTAGCTAGAGAAGGCCACTTTACCATTTCGTAGAACTACAGTGATGGTGGATGATCTGGCAACCCTGCATGGTCGTAAGAATCTAGCAGAGATGATTCTGCACGCATGAACATGTCCCCACAGTCAATCACAGGTAAAAAGGTGGCTTGAACAAGTTTCTCTCGCACTTCAGAGGGGAAACGGGACTTGTTGTCTATGAGTACAATGAAAGCAACTTTATCGTTCGTCCGTATACCAAGATACTTTAACACGTTACCCTTTCAGTGGCGGCACACCAGCGTGACGAGGCTCAAATCTGAGCTTCAGTGAAAGTCATGAATTTGGTTTTCTGCGCATTTAGAACTAATTTCAGTGTACATATAAATGAAAAGCCCTGCGAGGTTGATAAGTAATCAAAGGTCAAATGTTCTAAAGTATCAAAAGTACTTATGCAGCAGACTGTTCCCATCATGAGTGGCGTTGGATAACTGATGAGCAGCTTTAGTGTTGAACCACTGCATTCTGGTGTTTAATCCTCAACTGTGCATCATGATTTAATATGAGCAGAGGTTTATATTTCAAAAATCTGAATCTAAGGAACCAGTAACTCCAGCTGTTGGATAACTGTGGCGTTTAGGTGGAACATGCTGTAGTAGAACCGGTTCGTCGTTTAGGAAGACTAAAAAAGCACAGATGCAACAGTCTACATCCAGTGATACAGCAGTCGTGTTTTTAATTTGTCTGCAGGTCCGTATCAACAGTCCAGACCACCATCTCTCGTCACATCTTGCCCGCGGCTCAGCCTCGCCGTTTTATGATCTGCGCCCATAGCAGCCGGAGGCGGCGGCGGGGTGTGGAGGCGTCCTCTCTGGACGAGCTGCTGGAGCAGGTGAAGATCCTCCCTGTGACGTTATCTTAAAATATTCACACAGCTTCAGTGGAGAAGATTCAGAGTTTCAAAACAGATCTTTGGCTCATCACCTGCACGCTGTGATTCAGCGATTGGTTTTCCTGTGTTGCGTCTCAGGCGGTGAGGGTGTTCATGTTGACCTGCACCCTCCTGACTCTGGTCCTGGAGGAGGACGGGACTGTGGTGGACTCGGAGGACTTCTTCCAGTCTCTGCCCAACAACACGCCGCTGATGGTGCTGGAGAACGGAGAGAGGTGGACGCCGAACAAGGTGAGCATCAAGTCACGAGAAAACGCAGTCAGTGTTTCTCATTACTGCAGTGGAGAAGATTTATTAATCCGTATTGATCCTGGATCTAAGAATCTTTTAGTTCCCAGTTTTGAGTTTCTAACACTACAAAACTGTTGCTGGTGGTTATTTTAAAGCCGGATTTGTAGCTCTAACATGTGACCGTTTCAGATGAGTGGTGTGAACAGGAAGTGGCTCTCTACCTCTGGTGACCTGATCCAGGTTACAAATGACTTTCTGATTTTTAAAAGGCTGATTTTTTTTTTTGTGAGCTGTGACTTTCTGCAGTTCTTCCACAAGATGGCAACGTGTTCACATGTTTCACTCGAGTGGTTTGTGGAGGCTTTGACTGAAAATGTTCCTGTGCATGTTGGAAGTCTTGCAGGAGAAATCATCAGTAATGTGTCGGAGCGTTTTCAACATGCAGTTTAGTTTCTCTTTGAGGCTGAGCAGTCGGACTGTGTGAAGGCCTCGGTCGGTCCACAGCGGCTTTCATCCTCTTGATGGAGGGTGGATCCCTGTGACCTCTGCCCCCCCCCCCGTTGAAAGAACAAAGGTCCTGATCAGATTTTTTTTGTTAATGGATTACGTTTTTTTCACTGTTTCAGTTCTACCGTCAGCCAAAGAGGAATGGGGTTGCTAAAGTGACCTTTAACCTCTACAAGCTGCACCCTAAAGACTTCCTGGGCTGCCTCGCCATCAAGGCCACTCTGTATGAGGTCTACACGCTGTCCTACGACTTCAGGTGCACCAGGATTAAACACATCCTCAAGTGAGTTGACCTCTGCTGGTGATCTGGGGCAGCTGCAGCAATTCAATTCAGCTTTACTGGCATGAATGTAAAACAACAATGTTGCCAAAGCTACAAATTACAAACTACCAATTCATTTCATACACTTAAAGAAAATAATCACAATAATAATATAAAATAAAAAAATAATAATTATCAAATAAGTAAATAAAACTAAGTGTGTGTAACTAAAAATAAAATATTGCTTTCAAATAAATAAAACGGTTAATGTGTGAAAAGATTTTAAATATAACAACTAAGCAAAAACAAATTAACAGTAATTGTGTGTTTAAAAAATCAAAATGATATTAAAATAAATGTAAATTGGTTTAATAGATATAATTACTTAAATAACAAACAATGAAAATAAGATTTTGATCATTTTTAAAGTACAATTATTTAACATATTTATCAGTCTGTGGCATGAGATTTATTTTGCTGCAATGTTCTGGCATTTCTCCAGTAATGCAACTAATCTCAAGTCTCATGGCCAAAACATTAAATGGCTGAAATCTTACCGAGCCTCATACTTTGCTCTACTTTGATGTGTGACTGGAGTCTCTGTCTCCTCCCCGTCAGGTTGGCGCTGAGCGGTGTCACCTGCCTGAGCAGACTGGCAGGCCAGCTGCTGCTCTACACCGCTTCCTCATTACTGCAGTTCACAACGGAGCACGACTGCTAGTGCAGGTTAGAGGCGTGTCCGTCCTCGCCAACGACGTGGGACTCGCCACAAATGGTTTAACTGCCCTCTGGTGGAAAATATGAATTCAGCTTGTGTGTCTGAGACAGACTGAGTTAAATACTCGCAAACTCTTACCGGTTTTCCTCTTGTTCACCCTGTTTTTATCTAGACTGACTCCTGTCTGAATACGAGTGTTTTAAGTGTGTTTAGATGGACGAAGTTGTTTCAGTTGTGACGTTTCTTTTCTGGATGTTTTATCTTTTCTTTTTGAGCTGTGAGGATTTAAATTTAATGTCAAGAGGAGGAAAAGTTGTAAATGTGCTTAAAATTTAATTGTAAATGAATAAAGATGAGCTATTTGAAGTGTTGTCTGTATGTTTCTGTATCTATAAACCAGGAGCTCTCATTTATTGTCTTTCCAGAAAACAAGGGCAGCTTTACAAAGAGTCTCTGACGCAGCTCTCCTCTTTGCTGTCAGTTTTGACTCCTATGACTGATCAGTATTAAACATGAAGTGTTGCTGCAGGACTCTGACCGAGCAGACGCGCCGTATCAGCGATGGGTTCCTCTTTTATAGCTCTGCTGTGAAAACCGACACTGCTGGCCTCAGCAGCAGCTGACCCAGGCTTCATCGTCTCTCTGTGGGAATGTCTGGCACATGTTCCCCTACAGAGCAGAAAAATCCCCTGCAGGTGGCCTTCCTCATTTCTCTGTACAGACTGCAGAGTCATACTGTAAAGAGCTCATTTTGCTCTTCTGTGTGAATGTGGAAGCCACCAGTGATGGAAAAGTAACACCACAATTTGAAAACGCTAACAAGAACAAATCCTTTAATTTAACTATCAAGTAATGTACTTAAAGCATAAATGTGCTCAGTCTACAGCCAAAATGGGCTTTGTCATTGTTGTATTAGCATTTTAATACTGTAGCAGGCTGCACCAACATAACTGTATTGACTTTTCTCTTGTTGGGTGATTTATGTAACAGTAGTTTGTTTTACAGTATATGCTCAAATGTTTCCAAATTATCTGTGAAATAACTGCAGGCACCTAATCTAGTGGAGTAGAAAATGTGAAATGTCCACGTTCAGCAGCTGCAGTTCATTTACAGATCAGTTTCTTTTCACCACAGGACAAAAATCTGTATTGACAGAGGAGACGATCACTGTTCCACAAACGTAAGAACCATGTTGACACCGTGAGCCTTAAAAGATAATGCAACATGACGTAGTCTTCATTTCACTTCTCTTGTGGGATAATCATGCTCTGAGTTTGGGAAGAGTTACGCTGTGAGCTTTTCTTTAGCTTATTTGTTTACATTTTGGTAAATTGGCTCCATTAACAGTCTCTGAATTCACTGTTAGCAGCTGTTCTCCGTGTGCACGTGGATGTATGTGCTATGGCCCAATCCCAGTATCGGAAAATTCTGAAAAAATATGTACGGTAGTGAACGGCGAGAGATCCTGTTTGAACAGAGTCCTGAATCACACGTGATGTTTGTCAGTTTAAAAGATAATTAAGTCAAAGTTGCAGTTTGTTGTAAATCAGTAAAGTTAAATTTAGTTTTGTGTGAAAACCGTTCAATGAGCTACATCACTCGTCTCGCACAATATACGTCACCAACATGTTAGCGTGCTAATGCTAAGCTAATGTTGGTTGCTTGGTTGCTGCTAGCTAGATAACTTAGCTATGTTCCACGCAGAAATATATCTCACCTGATGTGTTTAATCCAACGGCTCTCAGTTCTTTAATCTCATCATCCTCTCATGTAAGTTCTTTGACGTCAGTTTCAGTCATTGAGAGAAAAAGTTACGACGTCACATTTGCGACTTTTGCATTTCTGGTCTTTGTAATTCTGTATTTTCAGTCTTAGACCTCAAAAGTTTTACATCAAACTGCAACTTTCTTGACTTTTAAATGTATATTTTAAATTGCCCATCATGTGTGTAAGTCAATAATTTTTCCGAAGAAAGGTCCCATGGGGGTCAACCGGAAGGGGCGGGACTTTCTATAAGACAGATTTGCCGTTATATTTCTCTCGCTTTTAGGTGTTGCCTGGTGACCCCCGTGTTTCACGTCATACCGCTATGAACTGTGGGCAATTCCCTCAGGCAAAGTCTGCAGAAATGCGGACTTAAGAAAAGGGCTTAAAAAGGGCTCACTAGAGAGCCCTCGCACACTTGTGGGGCGGCGGCGAGGGGACACGCCTCAAAGTCTGAGTGTGGACATTGGGATTGGGCCTATCACTGGAAAACTTAGACTTTATGGTTCTCAGGTTTCATTAATGAGGAGGAAAGTTATAACGCCACCTGCAGGCAAAGAGTTACAGCTGCAGTGCTTTTCTTTGGAGTAGCTGCTGTTTTTTCATGTGTTTGAAGTTTTACATTTAATTTGGTGATGAACTGAGTACAAACTTGTTGGAAGGACATCTGATTTTCCTTTTTCTTTCTTTTTCTTTTTTTTTATGATAATCATTAAAACAATGTAAAATGATGGAAATGTCGTGAATATTTCGCTTTTATTTCAGTGATACTGTTGGTCAGAATTGATGAATCATGTCATGAATCATTTCATTTACATTTTGTGAATCTGTTGCACCTGTTTCATCATAATCCAGATGTGATACTGTACATTGATTTTCAATTGCTTTTGTTTTTAGGTTTTCTCTGTGGTAACATATAAAAAAACTAACTTTAGGAAACTCAATCTGTATAGAAAAGATTATTAGGCTTATATAAATCTATGGATGTTCAAGTATTGTTTCCACGCAGGAAAAATACTTTATTGCGAAGTAAAGATATTTTCCACGCTTATATGCTAGAATTAAATAGTACTGTTGAGTATTTCTGTGGGACAAATAAAACAAAGTATGCTGAGTGGGACAAATTGGACCCACGGGACGGGTGACCTCGCGGGGCGTGGTCGCGTGGACGCGCGTGAGAAGAGGAGGAGGAGGAGGGGGGGTGAGAGAGGAAGGCGGCCGCGCGCTCCCGTTTAACAGACGCACACCGGCATCCAGCAGAGACGCGCCGACACACCCCAGAACACCACCGGAGAGAAAAGACCGACCGAGAAGAAGAAAGATGAGAGAAATAGTTCACATCCAGGCGGGACAGTGCGGGAACCAGATCGGGACCAAGGTACGGACCGGGATCATGTCCCGACTCAACTTTGTAAATAATAATTATGTCGCATCACTGGATAGTTGTGTTTGTAGGCTGACACTTGCCTTTAAATTAGGTTGCTTTAATGTCCTGATGTTCTGCCGGACTGCAGGTTGCCTATAATAAACTAAATAACGTGTCAAACATCATGCAGGGATTTTCAGCCCACATCAGGCTGGACTTTAAGGAAAAACTGAACGCGTCATGTCCAACTTCACCAACCCAAACGGTTTTATCGCGAGATAAAAGAAATCTCTGTATTTAATATGGATCTGTGATTTCTGGCCACAACCAGTTTGACTGTTCCCAGTACTGACTGGGTGGATGGGATCGATGCTCATCCTTAAGACAAGCCAGAGTTTGGAGAGGCTGTTAGAAAAAATAGTGTCAGACATTCAAGCTCTAATAATAATAATAATAATAATAAGCGTTAAAATGAACATGGAGTGCTCTCTGCTCTGTAATGAACTCATTTCGGTGCCGAGGGGGAGTGAAGTGAACTCCCTCTGTGAGACTATTCAAGGAATCTGGGTGAACACACACACACACACACACACAGGCGCTGACCAATCACACAACTATTTCAGAGGGCTGGAAATCAAAGGAGTGAACTTGGTTTCAGCCGGAGAAGAAAGTAAATCACGAGAGATAAGAGAGACAACAAGAGCTAAACAGACAGTTAGCAGGTCACCTCATAACCACAAAGGCTGCTGGGTAATGAAGCAGTGTGGAAACTCTGTAAGTCAGCAGTGACACAGCTTCTTAAACAAAGCTCAGGTTGTAAATTAAAGTCCGTGCAGCACCGTAAGAGTATCTGCTGGTGTTTAAGTTCATCCTGCAGATCTACAGCCGACCAGCAGAGATCAAACACGTCAGTGACCACGTTTTTAACTCCTCTCGCAACAAACTCGTCCTCTTTAACTTGAAGTGCAGATCAAATGTACCGAATCTGTCAGGTTGAAACTGAGGAAATGACAAGACAGATTTCTGGGGCAGCTGCGACTGCGCTTTTTAGTCTGAGAGCCTCATCAAATAAAGGTTTTTAAACCTCTACGCCAAAGGTGAATTTACACAAATATTAAAAAAGACACATGAAATGACTGATTACCTTCAGTAGGACTCTGTGCAGTTTTCTGTCCAGCAGCAACGAAACATGAGCCTGTTAATAAACCGCTTAACTGAAAATTTAGGTTTGAATGTTTATGTTTTAAAGGGTCAGTTCACCCAAATCACAAAAACATACATATGCGTGACAAGTACAAGGAAGAAGCAGCATGAAGTGTCCCTCGTTTATAGGCTATATAACACCTTTATTTAGTCAGCTCATCTCATTGAGATCAAGAGAGCTGAGTGGAGCAGAAAGAAACAAACTAAAACACAGCTTCTTCTTCTCTTTTTCTGCTGCTGTGACTCGGCCAGTTTTGGGAAGTGATCAGCGACGAGCATGGCATCGACCCTGCAGGGAGCTACGTGGGTGACTCATCTCTTCAGCTGGACAGGGTCAACGTCTACTACAATGAGGCGTCCTGTAAGTACAACACATCACAGTGAGTCACACGCTGAATGACTGCTGAGGCCCTTCTGGAAAATAAATCACATTTCACCTCTTAAAGGTCAAGTGTTTAATATTTAGGAGGATCTAGTGACAGAAATGCAATATAAGATCCATAACTATGTTTTCTGTAGTGTATAAAGACCTTACATGATGAACCGTTATGTTTTTATTACCTGAGAATGAGACATTTCTGTCTGCATACACCGCGGGTCCTCTTACATGGACGGCGCCATGTTTCTACAGTACAAACTGCTCTACAGGGCGCGTTTCGTCACTACGTTGACAACAACGGCAACAAAAAGTAACGTTAGTACTAGTAGTCGTAGTAGCCAACTGGTTTATTAGAATAGAAGAGAAATTTGGGCAAATGGAGGACCAGATGTCCTGTTTAGCCAGAGAGAAATATTCTCTGCACCCTATTCAGCAACGCAGCAAAACCTCTTATAGAGGAAGGCGGGGTGGTTTTACCTGTCTGACCTCGACACTAGAGGTCACAGTTTGCATTCTGCAGACTTTTTCGGACTAAAAAGTCACAAAACAAGACCTAACAGAGACAGTCGTAACTAATTCACTGTCTTAAAGGCTCAGTTTGTAAGTTTTAGTGGCATCTAGTGGTGAGGGTTACAAATTGCAAGCGCCCCCTCC